AAAAATATAGGTTAACGCGATTAGTATAAAATTTGTAGAGCAGTGTTATGCCGAACTTCCAATAGGCATTGAAATGGCAAAAAATGTATGCCATTTAAAAAAATGCAATGTGGAAATGAGCTTAATGACTATTTTTTTAATGTAATGACACAATTTTTTTTAATGCCCGACTTTATCATTTGTCATTTAATGCCTAGTGGAAATCCAGCATTACTGATACTTGTCATGCTGATCGCCATTTTCTTGCCGTCCATTGTCTTCGACCCCACAAAATTGAGAACGCATTTACTCGTTGAAGCTTCAAAATCAGCCTCGTGCTCATGTAGTTATCAATCAGTTATGGACACTGCTTATATATTGATAAGTAAAGGGCTCCAGCGGTTTACATATTTTAAAATAGCGAATAAAATGCGGGACAAAGGCAGGACACTTGGAAAAAATCAGAACATTTTGAGGGTTTGCTAATTTGAAAAACTACGCAGGACAGACCTTTGAATAACAATATAGCCCTGCAAAATACAGGACGGAGGGTCACCGTAACTATAATGCTTGATTTCCATTGAAATTTCCTATTTAAAAAGCTATCAAAGTCCAAAACCAATTAAAAAATTTACAAAGTTGTAAAAATAATAGGGGTATTTTCGATCCGTTGCATACTGTCTAGCAAGATAGCATAAATAGAAAATTTGTTTGTTGTTTGAACGCAAAACATGAAGCAACAACAAAGTTATTAAGTCATTATATTTTGGTGCTTTCTATGCACCATGCTAGACAGTATGCAACGGATCAAGAATACCCCTAACATAAACAAATTCATACAGTTTGGATATGATTACAACGGGCGACAAAAACCAAAAAATTCAGAAACAAGCAAAAAATCAAACTGCTCCCGAAGCTATGGACCAGATTTAGTGAATATTCGTTTTTAGTTTTTCTCTTCAATATTAGGTTTTTTTTAAAAGGGCTTTCATAAATAGGGTTTATCTATAATATTTTTTAAAGAAGCTCAGTGCATTGTGGAGTAATAATATGGGCAGTGTTGCTGCCGCTCAAAGAACTTTCTAACCAAGATTAGACGAAAAAGTTACCAAATTTAAGGAAAAATAACCAATTTTTTTATTAGATTAACAATTCAGGTCATCACAAATTCTTTTATATAGTTCGTATAGAAAAAGTTTACAATCCAAA